TGTCTTCCTTGGCCACGTTTGTGATTCTATTGCCTTTCTCCGTAATTTTTGAAAGGTATGCTTCTTTTCCCCAATCTTTGCAGACAGGCATTAGTAAGTTTTTCGGCTAACGATTTATTTTTGTTCATGGTCCAGGAGGCTGTGGCCAAGGAAATTTCGTCTGAAGCTATGGGTTCAGCTGGTTTTAATTTCTTTTGGAGGGTAAGTAAAAGAAGATTGTTTGCCTTTTCTCATTAGTTACTAGACGTTCCTTGTTTCCTGACATGCATAGATTAACCATAGGAATGCATAGAATTGCTTCTTTCTTTTTCTGTTCTTCCTCCTTTGTGGTTTCCTTTTTAGTTAACCATACTGAAATGTTTTACAAGTAGGACCTGGAGAGGAGAATGAAAATTTTAGGCAGATGAACCTGTTTTTCTCTTTTCCACTTGACTCCATTTCATTCAGCAAGAGAAAATTTTTGTTTTTCATAATACTTCAGATGTTGAAAGGCAAAACTTTCTTGCACTCACAAGCTAAACGATATTCACATTTCTCTCCTCCGTTGTCTTCCTAGCCACAGCGCTTTCTTGAATTTCAAATGGCATGTTATGCTTTTAGGGACATGATTGGCCTAGGAAAAACTAAACGGAAGGGTGACATTATTCCATTTGTCGAGTAAATTATCTATCCATTTGTTGTTTGGATGGCAGGGTGACATTATTCCAATCTCTGTTCCTGAAGGGCATCAGTCTTACTTCACCAGCAATGGCAACAGCCATGCCAAACATTGCTCCAGGATTCATATTTTTCATTGCTTGGGCTCTCAGGTATAACCAATCTGGTTTTGATTTTTGTGCTACGATTACTGTCAAAGCAAAACTACCAACTGCTACAAAATGAAAAAACTTATTTCAGAACTCATAATAAGTTGCAGCATACTTGGGGATGAATGGAAGCAAACAGAGTAGAAACTTAAAGAATACCCGAATATGTATTCAGAGAGGAAACAAAAAATGTCTATTGCAGATTAGTTCCTAGAGAAGGTTTAGGAGACAAGAGCAGTATAGGCAAAGTACGTTTCAAGTCGAGAACTCTTTGGACGGATTTGTAACTTCTCATGAGTAAATTAATCAGAGAATTTAATCAGGACGAATCAAGTTCAAACTCATAGAAAATACAGAAATATTACATAATCCAATTGATTGCGGTTAGTGATATATTACCAAGGATATATCCATGAATTTCTTAAAAGCTGGACACTTCGTGTGCAGGTTGGAGAAAGTTGAGTTAGGCTGCATATATAGCAAAGCAAAAATTGCAGGAACACTGCTGTGTGTTGCCGGTGCTGTTATAATGAGCCTTGCGCAAAGTACCTTGGGCAGTCATAAAGCAAGAGAAGCTCATTTATCAGTACCACCTCCACTGTCACGAAACTTATTTGACGAGCGAAAGATCATGGGTTGCTTTTATCTCATGGCAGCCGTCTTCGTCCTATCAAGCACTATTATCTTACAGGTAATTGAATGTTCCCCAGTAGTAGAAGAGATTGAAGAAAATATGCATTTTTTCTAATTCCTAACTTTGTGCTTTTTTGCTCTGTTTGTGTTACAGGCTACAACATTAAGGGATTTCCCAGCTCCAATATCCTTATCTACAATAACAACTTTAATAGGGGTGGTATTGACTGGAATTGCTCAGTTGATTCAAGATGGCAGAATAGATATTGGATGGCCCTTGTTAAGCATCAAAGATATCATGTGCTACTCTGTACTGGTAAAGTACCTATCCTCCCAAGCTGCCCTTCTTTTTTTTTTTTTTGGTTACCCTTGTTAAAGAGATGAACTACACAACAAAGGGCAAGAATAATGTATCAATTTGGTCTTATGATTCTATGTCACGTTCATGAACCACTGAATACATCATTAAAGCTTCTTTCCAGCTTAAATCGTTGCCGTTGAACGATGGCTAAACTCCTTGACCTTTTACTGCAACAGGCAGGAAGCATCAGTGGAGCATGTGTTACCTTCAATATATGGGCAATGAAGAAAAGGGGGCCAGTTCTGGTGTCCATTTTTAGTCCCATTGGAACTGTCGTCTCGCTAGTCTTTTCAGTAATCACCTTAGGAAGCTCCATTACCATAGGAAGGTATCATGAATCAAATACCAAATCATGCTCTAAATTTTACTCTTCAACTAGGAGCCTCAAACATCGATAATCTAACCACTAGATCTCTTTCCACAGTCTCGCAGGCATGTCCATCATGTTTACTGGTCTCTATTGTGTACTATGGGCTAAAAGGAAGGAAAGATTCTCCGAGAATAACAACTCCTCAGAAAGTGAGTACGATGTGGAGAAGCCTCTCTTATCTTGACATTATCTACTTTGATTGTTTAGATGTAATCTATCAACTATTATTGTACAGGATAGGGAATATATCCCCAAGAATTGGTGATATGAATTTTAGGTTCGATTAAGTTATAATGTGATATACAAGAACAGAAAACTAAAGATCCCAGATTATAATTTCAGACAGAAAATTACTAACATAGTTAGTTTTGAATACTACTAACAGTTTTCAGTGCGTAGTTGAAAGTCCGAAGTATCAATCCTAGTATGTTTCTGCAGCTCCATGATGCACAATATACGTCATACAACGGTTGATTCTGGATGCAAGACAGTAAAGGATCTATACCATTATTGTAGATCTTAAACTAAATTTTGGCATAATGCTGGCAGCAGAGATCAGTGCTTTTGGTACAGCACACTTGAAAGAGTAATCGGGTTTATGCAAGGACAAAGTTCATGTACGTGACAATGGATTATGGCTGCAAAGCCCAGTGACTAACTTTGGTTTTTTTTGACATTTGGTGGAGGAAAACTTTGAACAACTGATTTTTTAGTCCTTTTTTTATGGGCTGAAAAGATTGAGTTTGTGTTTGAGTTTCAGTGCAGAGATGAATTTCCAGTCATGGTAGCTTAGTACGATGCTCAGGATGGAAACCTGTCTTTTTGACTAACTGAATAGCATGCATATGTTTGTCTCAATCAACTTATGGTAATGACTATATTTGTTCCTCGTTTTTTTTAAGGGAATGGTAGGCAAAACATTCCACAAACGCTTGAAAGATCAAGAGAATTTGAACCCCTGATGCACTCAGGGAAACGCAATTAATCCCACAAGACACCATTCACTTGCCTGATTTTCAGTTCAATAAGCTCCAAAAGTAACCGAAAACTAATAGTACTAAACACTATTTAGACCTAATTAAGCATCAGATTTAGTGTACTTAAGACAAGGTAAGCTCCTAAGTGAAATCGTTTGAAAAGCCAATATAAGTACACATTGTGATCAGTAATCTGTCTATATGGGATGCCAAGTTGTTGGATAAACAGCAAAGGAACCTATCTTGCTAGACCTCACCAGATAGTTTGCATTTTGCAAATTAGGTGTGATCAATTTTGAGATAGATTGTTAGAACTTGATTTTACCAATAAGATGTTGATTGCCTGTAGTTCTACAACTGAGACCGTGAGTTTATTCCACAAGTATGTCCACCCCCCCCCCCCCCCCCCCACCCACAACAAACCCACATATAAGAAGTTAAAGAACGCAATTCTTGATGGACTTGATCCCTGGGTAAAGAGTAAATACTAGGAGGATAATAATATTGTGAGACACAGACTGAGGATAACATCATATACTTACATGGTTGATTTATTTCTCTAATCTTGTTGCAAAGCTTCCAATACAAATTGATAAAGAATTGAGGGTCTGTTTGCAAACAAGTTTTTGGCATAGTTTGTCTTCTACAAGTTTTTTAACAACTTTAACCACAATAATCTCAAAAAACTCCTCAAAATTTTTAAACTATATACTTCAAAATACTCAAAAAATTTTCAAAGTTTTAGATAAATATCCAAAAAACTCATTTGTCAAACGGTGTCTGAGTTTATACTTCTGGTCATGGCCACTGGTTTAATATATTTAAACCATCATTTTCTTATGGCCACTGGTTTAACATATTTAACATATTTAAACCTTTGAAAGATCAATGATTCAAACCTTATCTTCCATCAAATGCCACAATATGTGGCTTCTCTAAAAAAATCTATACGAGTGCGTAGTACACCCGTCTGATTCGATAGTAATTCAGTTTCCATCGATTTCCTACAGACTCAGTTGGACCTCCCCTTAGTTAGGATAGAATAGGATAATATAGATAAAGTCCCATTAGATGTCCCTATTGGTCCCCCGTAAGCGCAATTGAGCCTCCACTTAGATTAGTATAAAGTAGGATGATATAGATAAAATTCCCTTAGATTAGGACAAAGTAGGATAATATAGATAATGTGATGACGACAGAAGAAAAAACCATCATTTTCGCTTGAGCATCGGTCCCTTAAATTAGGATGGAATAGGATAATATAGATAAAGTGTCCTTAAATTAGGATAGAACAGGATAATACAGATAAAGTGCCGGTGAAAAAAAAACATCATTTTCACTTGAGCATCGGCATAGACTTCTGCTTTTCTCTAAGCTTTGAACAGCTTCTGAGACCATGACTTTGTCGGCTTGCCTTTTTAACACTTCTATCCGACAGTATCGATGGAATATTCTCTTTAATTTTCATCTTCATACGGCGTAAGTTTAGCTTCATTGTTGGGGCCAGCATAACAATTTTTTAATTGAAAAAACTTTACCGACTTCTGCCAATTTCATTTCCTAATATTCTAATTAATCCAAAATTTTTAGCAAGAAAGCCTAATGAAATTTTCTCCATAACTATAATTAAAAACTCATTACCAAATAACGTATTGAAGGAAAAATCTAGTACTCCATAACTTTGTACTATAAGTAGTTAATTTCTGGCATGGCCTGTGCTCAAAATTTCAGTATATAGAAGTATGTGTATGTGTAGTGGCGGTGTGGTTGAGAGGCGGCGGGGTAGCACCACAAGTGGTAGAAACAGTCTCTCCACCACTTAAAAACGACACCCTCCACTTGTCAGACACTGGCTATCACTCTACTCCGCTCCTCTACTCTTAACTAACTTCACTCTCTTCTCATCCACAACCAACTAACTTCGACTAAAAACTAGGACTTCCCTCACTTTACTACACAACACCACACAACCTTCACTCTTGTCTGGTCTCACCCACAATCCATGCCACTTTTTGTGTTGTCATGTTTATCTTCATCTTAAACTGTGTAAAAAGTGCAGGAAGCAGCACCAGCTTATATATATTTTTTACTGCTGCTACTGCTACGTACAACCATTTCAAGTACTCTTGCATTCTTAACTCGCCACCAATTGTACTGAAAAACACACTCGCCAAAAAAAAAAAGAAAGGAAAAAAGTGATAACAATGGGAATGGCGGAAGATCATGTTGGACAATTGCAAGAACCAACTTTCAAGCACTTTTGCAGGGTATGCAAAAGAGGGTTTGGATGTGCCGGAGCTCTGGGGGGTCACATGAGGAGCCATGCTGTTGGAGATGTTCGGATGCATCAATCGAGTCGCGATCAAGAAATAGGCACCAGCGGCTTCATGAGAAGCAATAAGGGGGAAGGAGGAAGCAAGCATTCGTACTTCCTCCGAACCAATTCCACCAATCGATTCACCGGTGCTTGTCGAGCTGGTGAAGATCTCCAAGAATTTAATAATAAGAGGGCCTTCACCCGCTCTGCTTTCCATGATGAACGCGGGAAATTTTCATCTTCCGTGTCGTCTTCTGAATCTGAAGTTGAAGAGATGATGCTCAAGTCCGCGCGAGCAAAATCCAAAAATTACGAGGACCGGCATTGTGCCGCCTCCAGCGAAGAAGAGGATCTCGCGAATTGTTTGGTGATGTTGTCAAACGAATCATTTGTTCAGTCGGATAAGGAGCAGGAAAACACGGACAAACACGTGGAAAAGGGTATGTTCCAGTGCAAAGCTTGTAAGAAAGTGTTCAGTTCCCACCAAGCACTGGGGGGACATAGAGCCAGTCATAAGAAGGTGAAAGGTTGTTATGCTGCTAGATTCAACAGCAGCACCAACCTCAATGATCAGGATAATGACAATAATTACGAAGATGCCTTCTACCAACACGAGGAACATTTGGCTCCGTCAGAAAATTCTTCAGAGCCAGGGCTTGATCTTGATTTCTCACCTCATCATGATCACCTTCCAAAAAATACTACATTGTCAAAAAGGAAGTCCAAAGCTCATCAATGTTCGATTTGTCAGAGGGTGTTTTCATCAGGGCAAGCCTTAGGTGGGCACAAAAGATGTCACTGGCTAACCTCAAACTTACCTGATAATACTATCATACAGAACTTACTTGAGTTCCAATTTGATAGCCAACAACTATTCAAGAAGCCTATGCTCAAAAAACCCGAGCCACCGCCTCTTGATCTCAATTTCCCTCCATTGCTGAACAATGCAGTTGATAATCTGCACATGAACTCAGCTGATGATGCCCTCAATTACGAAGCCCCAGCTAGAATTTTTCTCCAACTGTGGGGTAACGAAGAGGCTGACAACAATACTAGTAATAATAATCATCAGCAGAAATATACTACTAAAAGCGTGGTTCGTGGTTCATTGCATGATGAGGACGAAAGAGCCAAAGAAGATGGTTATAGAGCGGAGCACATTGCAAAACTGAGTAATCTGAAAGATATGAATTTGGATGGAGGGTCTTCTCGGTGGTTACAGGTGGGGATTGCTTCAACTACTGATATTACAGCCACCCCATGAAGTGATTGTTAGTGTTAGTAATTAATTAGTTATCTACTTTAAGCAAGACTTGTAATTATTACATGTTCTTCCATGTTAAACGTAGATATACTTGATTGTCTCTCTGGAAATTCAATTTACAATTTCATCAATTTGTGCTCTATTTTTTTCCTGCTGCCAATATTGAGTCTGCTGCCTTTTTAAAAACAAAGAAGTGATAGTATATATTTTGTAGCTAATGCATTACGGATTTTTTTTTTTTTTTTTTGTGGTCTTATCTCTAGGGGGCCTCCCTCCCTACTGTCATATCCAGGTTCAAATCCTGAATCTGGCATTTGAGAGTGAAGGGAGGGGTTAAACAAAAAACTTGTGGTTTATGCAGATACGGAAGAAGAATATATAAATATATCGAAAAAAAAAATGTGGGAAAGAATGAAGAAGCTAGCATGTTGTGTATCTGGAGTCGGCTGTATTGGTTAAATGCTGGCATGAGGATCACATAAAAAACTGTTTACCCAAGCTGTGAAGTCAAAGTCAGATGCAAAGTACTAATAAAACCATGTGATTAATTAGGTCATTTACAATTGATCGTTCTTCCATAAATTACCCCATATGCATGGATTATTTTTTCAATCAGAGGAAAATGCATGGAGTTTGGTGCTTCACTTCTCCTATCAATGTATTGTCTAGAATTGAAGTGAAAAAGAGCAGTTGCCTGTTATTACATGGTGTAAGAAGAAATGGTTGATTTTTTTTTTTTCTCTGCTACTTTTAATTCATTGAAATCGTTAGTACTCATATCATATGTAGCTGGTTCACACCATTTTGAAAGACCTCCGGCTCCACCCCAGCCCACCACACATATCATATCACATATGGTACCGGCGGCCAACAGGACATTATGCCCTGTGTCTCTAGCCGATCATCTTCAACGAAGACCAGCTAAACATAGAGCCAAAAATTGTGCTCCTGTTCTAGCTCATGCAGGGAGTTGAAGGTCCATCTACAAAGGACCACCCTGTATCATATGTTTATAGGATAGCCCCTTCTTTATGAATTAAAGGCTGCCGTGAGATGTTAGTGATTTGCTGCAACTTTGTCGGTCATTATTAGCTCTAAAAGTCTACACTATATTATAAGACGGACGCTATGACATAGAGTATGGTTAAGGATGCTAACAAGTTTGATCAAATTGAACACCTACCATTTAAGCTTATTTGATTGTTTTAACGAATTTGAAATTTTGTTTAAATTCGATTTGTTTATTTATAAAACCAAATTTGAACGAATTTTTTTATGTCGAATTTAAAAACTATGGAACATAAAATGCGGTTCAATCTTTATTTAGTTGGTCAACGAATCAAGTTCAAACGAACTCCTACTAAACAGAGTTTAATGTATCCAGAAATCGAGTAATGCCACTCCTGTGGATGGCAATGAGTTTCTGATTTTTAGATTAATATCTCAGACTTTTCCACAAGATCGTGATGCTTATGGCATGCTCTTATTTGTTTGTTGCTTCTTAAATTATTGCAAATAAGTTATTGGCATTTTGAAAAAAAAAAAGTAATTTGTAATATAAAACTTAATAATTTACTCTATAAAGTCATATTCTGAAGGTTTCTTTTTTCCTTCTTCCAATATTAAAGTCATCAGATTCAAGCAAAGGATAAAGGTTGGAAATAAAATATACTTAATTACTAGAACATAGTCCCTTGATAGGCCTCCTCCGTAACATTTCGTTGGAAGGATAAATTCCGCTGCCAATTGCAAATGTCATTAACATTTTTCCTTTGATTTATATGCCTTCAAATGGACTACTAATTAATATAAATCATCTTAAATTAAATCTAAACCTACCGACTATGACTCGACGAATCAGCCGAGGACTTGCGTGACAATGAAGGGGGAGGTGAGAATGGCGCGTGGGAAACAAAGCATGCGCAATAACAGGACATGTCCATGTACTGCAGATCATACTTGTTCTTTGTATGTGTACTTGGGCTTTCATCTGCCCAATCCGTGGCCATTGGCATCTTCAACTTTCTCAAAATTGAAGAATTGGTTGCCTAGGAATGTGTGTAATCGTGTTTGGGGCATATCAACGAGACAGTTCGTATCTGATTCGTACAATTAGTGTCAATTTTGGTTCAGAAATTAGTGTCAAATTTGTTTCGGGGTACATTTATTGAATCGTTTATGCCTTCTTCATATGCTTTCATGGAGCATTACAAATTTACAAATTGAAGTTCTTGAAGGTTGCATTTTCAAGTTGAAGTTCCTCAAAGGTGAGTTGGACACCAGGTGAAGCTTAAGATATAAATATAATTACAGTTCAGGAGTTCAAACTCTTGCACCTGCATCTAAAATTCAAAAGATGTGTAGTAGTATCCTCCTTTTGATCTAAACGTGGAAACCATTCCCTCTAACTTTTCTTGATTCAATTGAGCCCTCTCTTAGATAGGTTTGAATAGTGTAGGAGTTGATAATTGATAAAATAATAATAATAATAATTGTTGTGACTCAATTGGACCGTTCCCTATATAGATTAAAGTAGAGTAAGAGTTGACGATTGACCCAAAAAAGAAAAAGAAAAAGGATCAAGTTCCCTACTAAAAATTGTTGTTATTAACCACAAAAGAGAGAAAGTAAATTAATGTTTGATGTTGTAAAGAGTGCAACAAAATTAGTAGCAAAGTTTATAAAGGTAAATACTAGAGAAATAAAAAGGCTAATTAAAAAGGTTTCTGTAAGGTAAACAATAAAAAAAAAAGAAAAGAAAAGGAAAATCCAATCATTGCAAACGCTCTGCATAGGATCAATGTTTTTACATTATACAAAAATGCAGCATCTAGGAGTTGTTGAATAGTTTGAGAAGATAGAATAAAAATGAATTACTTGAGGAGTGAGGACATAATTGGAGGATTGCCAGTCTGTCTCGAAATAGCTACATAATGAAATTTTTTTCTCGACTGGGTATTGACTCAAAATTGTCATTCCTAGCTAGTCTGCAAGATATACAACCGGATATGAAAATAGCGAAATTTTCCTCAATTTAATTATTATTGCTATAATTCTAATTGAGGGAGATGGATATCAAACAACAGAAATATTTTAACTGTGGAGCAAATGATGAACGACTAATACCACTAGTACACAACTAACCTTTTCTTTTTCAAAAATATCTAACAACTTACCACTTTTTTTTTTTTTATAGTAGGTGTTTCTATCACAAAGATCCTATACTTGTATATGACTAGATTTCATTATAGTCTAACAATTGATTAATCTTATCCTTCTCTAAACAAATTTACTTAAGAAGAGAACCTAAATTCTTAGGGCTTGTTTTTTAACTGATTCTGATTTTATAAAAATTGATTTTGTATAATTAAATCTTGAAAATCATATTTTTCATAATAACTCATGTGTTCTCGTTTATTAGTTAAAAAAAACTATTTTAATGAATGCATAAGTGTTCTCAAGAAAAGTTAAAAAGTTTTTTTTGACAAAACTCTGTTTGGATTGTAAATTATTTGAGATATTTTTACTGTAACATTTGTTGTGATGTGATGTATGTGAGATAAAAAGGTGTGTTGGAAATTGTAATGATGATGTAAGCAAATCAATTTTGGCAAATAATCCTCTATCCAAACAAACCCATATAAATATATGCTACATAAATAAAATTTTTACTAATTAATTAATTTTTATGTAAATAATTACTTTTCTTATGAAGGTTCAATGTTGGATAAGAAAAAAAAAATAGAGGGAACATAGATGAATCTAAAAGTGGGGCAAAAATAGGAGAAAAATAAGGAGACATGCGGCATACAAATTTATCTAACCTTTGGTTAGTAATTATGTTAAAATTTGGAAGGAAATTTAGTTGATGTTTAGCTTTTTTTTATTCAAATATTCAAAAATTAGGTATTTAAAATCAGTTGAGAATACAACAAAATAGCGTTTCGAAAATCAAAAACTATAATTAAGTTTCTAAAATGAGTTTAGATCGGATCATATTTTTATCTTCTACTCTAAAGACATTTATACCCGAAAATATAACATTAGATCAAAGTGAAGAAAACTATAGTTTAACCAACTCTAACTTATAGTGGCATACAGACGTATTGACTGATTTTTTTTTCCCGTGTGGATTGAAGGTATATTATCACTATTTTTACAATTTGCATTCAATTAGGCCAAAAAAAAAAAAAATAGAGCAGAGAAAGGGAAATTAACACACGCCTCTGGTACACTGGCGGATGCATCATCAGCATCATTTCTGTTTGTTCCATAATTGATGCTTGAAGCTGGATTGTACTAACTGCATTACGACTTCTTTACGAATGCTCTGCGCTATTAGACTCATCTGGCAAAACGCATTTCTTTTGGCCTGCAATTTGCAGGCTGAATCAATTGTACCGACCGGCGAGCCGGACTGGACTCGGCAGTCGGCAGCAAGACTCGAAAAGCCATTTTCTTGGTTATGCTTTTCTTGTCTCGTTCTGATCTCATTCTTTGAAAAAGTGCGAATATTTACAGACAGTTTGATACTTTATATCGCTCCAATTCTTCTTTAATCTGTTAAAAAAACTGACTTTCTTGTTGCATAGCTATTAGTAGTATGTTCAAAATAAGTCATTTTGCCACAATAAAATTGAAGTTTATGAGATCGGTCTGTTTGGATTGTAACTTTGAAATTTTTGTAAAAATAGATTCTAACAATGTACCGTGTATGCGATGAAAACATGATTGAAAAATGTATTATGAAATATTTCCTTTTTTTTTTTGGTGAAAAGCCACCACCCAAACGCCCACCAAGCAATCTAGTAAAGAATTGCTTCTATTTTTGCTTTACTTGCTAGAAGTGCAAAAGAATGTGGCTCCAAGATTTAAGTCTTGTTTGGGGCTGTGGTGCATTAAAAAAAAAGCGCTTTTAAGCATTAAAAGTATTTCTAAAGTATTTGGTAACTAATATTTCGTAACTTAAAAGCATTTTGGTTAAAACACTTATATCAGGAGTGTTTCTTTAAAAACCATTGCAACCCCAAAATGGGCATTAGAAGGGTTGGGTTTTAATCCATTTTTTTTTTCCTTTTCATTTCTTATATCTCACCCTTCCTCTGTTAATTTTTTTTTTAAAAAAATGCAAATGAATGTTGATTTCAAGTGTTTACACTAAATTTGGAGCCTCCATGCCCAGATAGCCATTAATAGCAAAGGGTGTTCATCAGTTAGAAATCGGAAATTCGGTAAAAAAAACAAAATTTTTAGTTTTTTTTTTTCCTTCTAAAATCAATATGCAATTACAGTCCAAACTTCTATTTGGAAGTTTTTACTTTGGTCGGAGAATCGGTAATTCAGTAAAATATTTGAATTTTTCAATCAAACACATCATGCACATAAGAAGCTTTGAAATATTATATAACTATATAAATCATCCGCGTACACCTCAACTCATCAGTCATGACCATCAAGATAACCATTCAAACTCTTAAAGGTAAGGTAAATATTCTGAGACATAATAAAATTGCTAATAGTAGTAGCCTAGGAGCAGCAAGTATGAGAAAATGGAAGGACAAAAAGAAGGCAACAATCCTTACTTTGCATGCCCCAAACTTCTTTCATCGCTTGCTTTATTTTTATTTTTATTTTTATTTTTATTTTTATTTTTTGTCGACGGAGTGGGGTGTCCGGGTCAAGTCCGTAAAGGCGGCCCGACTAATCCCCACTCCGGCCCGGCCCAGCGCCCCAACCAGACCTAGCACGTTAAATGCACGGCGAACTGATGTTGCTGCGGAGGTTCGACCCCAGGACCTAACGGTCCCGAGGAAGAGGCGCCAACCACCAGCCCATTCACGTGGGGGCCATCGCTTGCTTTATTAGTACAGAAAATCACGCCCCGTTTGGCAAATGAGTTTTTTGAATGTTTGTTTAAAACTTTACTGTAGGTTACTGTAGAAGTTTTTAAAAAAATTTCTGAAGTGTGTTTTTTTTTTTTGAATATTTTGAAGTGTATAGTTTAAAAATTTTGAGAAGTTTTTTGAGGTTACTGTTGTTAAAGTTTTTAAAAACCTTGTAGCAAACAAACTTGACAAAAAACTTATCTGCCAAACAAGATCCAAAGTCTGAAGCCAAAATAGACTAACCAATACAACGACTAAAACTTTTGCATAATTGCTTGAATCTTATTTTAGACAATCCAACGAATACTACTATGTACTAAGTCTTTTTATGTATTTAATAAAATTATTTAGTAGTAATTTAGTATATGTATTATATACAAAATATTATTATTAGTAGTTTGGAAATTCGGCCCGATAATCAAGAATTTGGGAATTTAATTTTAGAATCCATTCCCCAACTGATTTACCAAATATAAAGTCTGGATATAGATTGGTTTTCTCAAAACCCAAATTACCGAATTCCGAAATCTAATTTAGATTGGTTCGAGTTATTCGATTTTTCCAAAGCATGAACACTCCTAATCAACAGCTTACAAATGGCTTTGAGAAACTGGCAATGATGCAATTAGAGGTGGCAAATCAACCCACTTAACTAAATTTACCTATACCCACCCATGAATAGATGGGTATGGGTATCTTAAATTTTTGTATATGGGTATAAATGGGTTACCCAATAACACCCATTTAATAAATGGGTGTTATTGGGTAACCCATCAAACCCAATTAACCCATTTAGAATTCTTTTCCCCTCAAGTTTCTTCTTTTCCCCCACCTTTTTTTTTTTCAAATTTTTCATTTTGTCATGATGTTAACTAATTTTGTTTCATTATTATTATTATTATTATTTGTTGGTTTTATCTTATTATTTTATTTTATCTTAGTTTGTTAACTTGCTCATTTTTTAGCATTACCAATTTATGATAAATTTTAGCCTATTTTCTTATCTTTATAAAATGAAATTTTAAATTTATATATGAAAAAAATGTTAGGGGTTCAAAATTTTTGGATTAAGTTTTTATATTAATTTTTATAGTACTTAGTTCAAATTTTTATATTCTTATTATTCAATTATTAAATAATAGGTAATTTTGTGACATAGAGTATAAATGAAAAAAAAATGGTAATTAAGTTTATTGAACATTATAAGTAAATATTTAAAACTAATGATCGGTACAAAGAGTGGTATAAATTGATAACTTAGTTTGCAAAAATGAATTTAAATGAGTTTACAAAAAGTTAAAATAAATGGGTTATAAATGGTAATTGGGTTACCCAATTCATTTTTTGACTTACCCATTTATACCCATCTAATTAAATGGGTATAAATGAGTTGACTCACTTATACCCATTATCCATTTTACCCAACCCAAACCCGCCCAAGTCATCCATTTTGACACCTCTAGATGCAATTAAACCACTCCAAGAAATAGACAAATATGGTGACCATAAATATCAGATAGAGTATTTTTTGAAATATTATTTGGAATAATTATTGTAGCACTTTTTGTGATGTAATGTACGTGAGATAAAAAGTAGTTGAAAATATAAAAAGGTAAATTGAAAAATGTGTTTATGATGCAGCTCTGTTTGGATAGAGAATTATTAGCCAAAATTTATTTGCTTGCATCATCATTACAATTTCCAACACACCTTTTTATCTTCCCAATTACCTTTTTATCTCACATACATCACATCACAAAAAGTGCTACAGTAAAAATATCTCAAATAATTTACAATCCAAACAGATATTATTTGAGATAAATTTGCCTTATCAATTTAGAGATCCTTTCATGAATTATAATTCACTAAAGTTACCTCAATTATAATTCACTGACAATGGGCAACTATTAACAGTCCTCTCATTCCTCATTATTTTGAAGTGACTTTTATGCGGAAACTGATCCTCATTACATCGTAACGGATAGACTAAAGTAGTAGCAGTAGTAATAGCTTTTGCATTGTTGACGTGATCTACGGGTTACTTTTTCTGAAGAAAGCGCTACTAGACATAATCTCTAAATCACCACATACTATAATATAAGACGTGCCAATATTGCACTCATGATAGTTGTAATAATAATAATAATATCTTGCTCTGACATTATATTAAATGTTTTTTCAAATTAAATTTCTATAACGTGGACCATATTCAATACACAATAATACAAAGTTCAAAATAAAGGCTGTTTAAAGAAATGAAATTTATTATTATTAGTATAAATCAACCAAAAAAGGTTCAAGAAAAGTGCAGCAGCCCTTCTTATGGCATGAAGCTTTATCATCATCAATGCCCTGCCCGTTTGGTCACAACAAACCCCAACAATTCATATTGACTCGTGCGAGATAGGCACGTATTGGTTTTAGCGACACTTATAGAGCTCATGAGTTTGTTAACTGCCATGGAAGAATAATGTTAATGGGTCTAATCACATTTTTTGAGAAGAGAGATGATGCAGGAATTAAGTAAGTGAATCATCAATGTGCTGGAAGATAAATGACATTATATGTTTAGGTAGAGAAGTAAAGAGCACTTATTGTGGTAACAATTTGGATTCATCACTGGTTTCAAAATTAATGCAGTACATTTAAGTCGTATATTTCTGCAATTGAGAATTTCACTGAGAGAATCGCAACGATTCTGTAAGGATTTATGCATTCTGTTATTTGACGATAAAGTTTAGAAATCAAAGTGAAAAATCAGAGTATAGTTGAGGGCGCAACACGACTATTTTTATTTTTTCTCAAACTATCTTAAATCTTAGTTCCACCGTATCAAATTAGAACTTCAATAAATTGTTTGGATTGTGACTTTTCGCGGAAAAAATTTTACATTTTTCGTGAACATATTTCTCAATTATCTTTTCATCTTACGTACGTCAAATCGTTATAATACGTTTTTCAACAACAACTGACTCTTAAAAATAACAATCCAAACAAACAGTTTCAATCTTCTGATTTGTGTCATGACAATCTAGAACATTTTCCTTGAAAGGCATAAAATGATCCTCTGTCTTAAAAATGAATGAAGTTCATAGAAGCCGGTTTATGAACACTTTTAAAAACGCTACTTCACCTAAAAGCCGCATAAATTTGGTTGCGTTGCACTGCGCGACTTTATTAAGGGCCTAAGTGGACTTGAGTAAATTGGCCGCATAATCTAGGGACTACAGAAAAAGTAGTGTCTGGTATCGAACAAAACTATGGGAGAAGTAAATGGAAACCAATTCAATTCTAGGAATTCAGAGAATAGCAACAAATTTAGACGATTTGGTGGTGGTGTAAATGTATACTCTTTTGGTCTGCAATTCAAGACATTTATTATTGCTTGCTTGTTTTACTAATCCTAAATCCAAAATTCTGTTGAAAATGAATTAAAATCTCCCATGAGAAACAGTCCTAGAAACAGAAAACACCGCCTCTTCGTACTCGCATCAAAGTTTGGAATAAAGAAACAAAACTACGGAAATGGCAAGATTTGCATGTTACTTGTCCCTCTTTATGTCTTTATCCATTCATCCTTGTCACGCCTTTTCCAATTTTCCCCCTAACCTTCCAATTAAAAACTTTGCCAAATGAAATCATCACCTTCAATTACATTTTACAACTAATTATGCACATACAAATCCATAGTTGGTTTCCTTGTAATTACTGGGATTCCGTCCTAATTAAGGTCCATCTAAATGACAATTTTTTGTGCATTTATTCGTAATATGTGAGATGTTGGGCTTAACAATATAGGTCTCCCTTGTACCATTATCATCAAAAAGAAAAGAAAAAAGGGTTAAACTCAAGAATTTATAATATTTTGTCTTTTTCTTTCTTCTTTTTTTTTTATTTGTTTGGTAAAAATGAAATATTTTTGGGTGGAGTGTGCCTTTTTGGTGGAAGAATGCTTGTCACCTACTCCTCTTAAGTTCCTCACTCCCACTGTCCTTTTACTACTTGCTTCTCCAAAGCTTATAGGACAAGAGAGAGAAAATCAAGGCAGCTATGTTGAGAGAGAAACTCAGCTGAGCTGAATATATATATGTACTGCTAGAAGTACAGAGCACACTACACATTCACTATACAAGAAAATTAAAGAAGATTACAAGAAAACCTCTTCAATCTTTAGCGTTGTTGTGTGGTGAAAAAAGCCAAAAAAGAAAAATGGTGAGGCCGGAGAGACACAAATGTAAGCTTTGTTCAAGGAGTTTTCCGAGTGGAAGAGCTTTGGGCGGTCATATGAGGTCCCATTTGGCCAACTTGCCGCTTCCTCCCAAGACACCGCAAAAACAGGAAACCAGCAGCCAGCTCCCACCACAACCCGGTGGTGACGGCTCAACTGAGTCAACAACTTCATCTGATTGTTCTTTGTCAGAGGGGGAAGTAGTAGTAGTACAAGTGAAGGAATGTGCAGCTGAAGATAAAGGGCTGGTTTATGGACTCAGAGAGAATCCCAAGAAGAGCTTCAGGATGGTAGATCGTCAGTTCTTGGATGGTGGTTCGGTGGTTGTTCAAGACAGAGGAAGCGAGACCGAGTCAACTAGGAAACCAACTCGGAGAAGATCCAAGCGAACTCGGAGAATGCTTGTGTCTGCTGCTGAACAAGAAGGAGCTGATGAGGCACTGATTAAGGAGAAGAAAATGATGAAGACAACTGAGTCATTGTTGGAATTGGAACAACCGGTGAGTTCGGTCTCTGACACTTCACCTGAAGAAGATCTTGCTTTATGTTTGATTATGCTTTCTAGAGATGTTTGGAGGAGGACTAGTACAACTACTACTACTTCATATGACTCCGCAGAAGAGTTGAAACTCTTGAATAGTAGTACTAAAAGGAGGCACCAGAAGCAGAAGAAGATCAAGATTAATAATAATGATTCTTCATCTGGTCAAGAAGGTGAGTCCTCAGAGGAATTAGAATTACCAAGAAATGGTGTTAGTAGAAGTTGTAGTATTAAAAATGTGACGGTGGACAAAAAAGTGCATGAGTGCCCATTTTGTGGCAAAGTTTATGGGTCAGGTCAAGCTCTCGGTGGCCACAAAAGATCACACTTTTTGGGTTCATCAACAACATTAACAACTACAACTACAGCAGCCACAACTGCTGCTGCAGCAGCAGCAGCGGCTGAGAGCTTGTTACTGGAATCATCATCAAATTCTGCTAAATCTCAGCAAGGTACGTTGCTAATGATAGATCTTAACTTGCCAGCTCCAATGGAAGATGAAGACATTGACGATGATCATCCTCATGAAAGTGAAGACATTAATTTGCATCATAGAAGAGGCTTCTGCAGTTTCAGATGCTGATTTCACCAATCCCATCAACCATTGACAATCAACAAATTTTAGAGAGTCTATCAGTATTCCTCCTTTGCTTTTTTATTTTTATTTTTTTAAAAAAGTATTTCCTATTTTTGAGTTTCTTTGTGGCAATATGGTCGATTCAGTTTTTATCTATTTGTAGGAATGCATTAACTTCAAATTGCCAATGTAAGCTTACTCTCCCTAGTATCCTTCCATTGGTAGTTGCAAACTTGCACAATACATTGCTTTGTTTCGATATCTTCACAAGAAATGTGCAGTTAGTCGCTGTAACTACTGGTGCGCCCCACAGCTAGCTAGTGGGGTTACAGGAGAGCAAGAAAGACTTTGCATTATTCTACTGGTGATTAATTCCTATACATTTATGTCTTCCCTTAATTAGCTTGCAATTTTTTCAGGGATATCTACAATATTGGTATTATACACTATTATCCATCGTCCCATTTTTCTTTCCTTCTTTTATCTTCTGGGGACTTTAGTTTATCTGGTACTTCGTGTTTTGTGTGCATGGTGGCAATTCTCTTAAAGTTTTGCTTGTGAAACAAGAATTTTGTTTCTGCAAAAAAGTAAAGAGTACCATATATTAATTGTGTCCAGTGCTGCTGTCTACTTGTGAAATTAATCAAACTCAGTTCAGTTCCTGTTTACAGCTGTTGTTACCTTCGTGATCTGTTCCCTTCTTTCGGTGTGGTATAAAGAATTCCTGAAAATCCCATTTCTTTTGTTCTCTCTCATCATTGGCTTAGTGGCTTTGTCTGCTTAAAGGACAGGGTTCCAGACTTCCATTTCCTCCCTCCATCCATGTCCGCCAGAATCTTGATTTTAAAGACCGAATTAACCTCTCAAAAAAGTGCATGTGATGTGATTAAGTGCCATTCTTGTATGGACCCCTCCCTAGTCTCATGGATTAGCAATGTTGCTGGGAAGTTGACCTCAGATTCTCCAATTCTTCAATCAATTTTGGCTTCTCACATGTATAAACAAATGTTTTTGGTGGCTTTGAAACGGTCCAAGAGCCCGAGAAAGTCAGTAGACTGAGTAATAGTGCAGCTGCTGGCTTGCAGCTCATGCCATCATGATTGGAACCAGCCACTTTGTTGATATTAAATAAATTAGCTTCAAATTCAGATATATGATCTTAGCCAAAAATGCCGAGAAAGGTACTTATTAATGCTGCGACATATAAATACTGCAGTTACAGTTTTCAGCTTAATACATGGTCCAAACTCCAAAGCTTTAACTTGGAGTTTGAAATCAATTGGTATGAATAAAGGTGAGAAAACAGGTTAGGCAGAGAGTAGAAGAAAAAAAAAATTCTGGGACCATAAGTTACTCGTGTGTGTGTGTTAATGATGCTCTATTCACCCAAGAAATTCGACTTCCTTTTCTTTATTCGGATGAAGATCCAACATGTGATACAAGGTCTCGTTTTAAAAGGGACAAAAATATAGGAAAAACAGTAGTGAGAGGTCGAACAAATTGACATTTATTTTTACAGCAAATTCACAAGTGTCTACAAAACAAAAGTATTTCGGTGTGTGTCAATGAGCACCGAAAATCAAGAAATGCGTAGCTAAAAATGTAAATGTATTTCTTCAAAGTAAAAATGAATGATCGGCTCTTGCAGCAAGGGATGATTGGTTTTCATTTCGTAACATCTAATGATTCAATCAAATGGTTCAACAAATGTCAATCAAATGGTTACGCCAATTCATTGATCAGGCCCAAGTCTCTTCTCATGCATGTGTTTTTTGACCCTAAGTTCGTCCATCAATAATAGTTCTCACATCAACACTGAGATTCGAACACACGATCTTTTGTGAAGAGGTGGCCCGTCCATATCAACTGAACCAAACTGTGTCGACAGCTGCATTTTTTCTCTTGCAGTATTACCATGGATATTTAAAGGACAAATAATCTTTCTTTCTCCACAATCCCCGTACCCCGTTGATGAAGGGCAAATTAATATCCCCATTCAGCGCCAGAGTCACATTCTGATCTTCTCCTTTACTTTTTACGTGAAATGGCCGCCCCGAATTTACTCATGAGCAGTAGAATATTATCGTCATTTCTGGCCCGTAATTAATCTCCTTTATCTTGAATAAACCAGTTGGTTGGATTGGGAATTTATTGCAGAATTTCTATCCCGAGTACAAATCCTGAAATTTGATTGCGGATAGAATTTAATTGTTTCACATAATTTAAACCATTTCTCCTACTCCTCACTCAGCAATTTATGCCTTTGGTTGGAGCCTAGAGGCGACACCAGCTTTGAGTTTGCGGCATCAAAGCCGCGAGTCCCTGTCCCAGTTCTTCATTGTCAGACCTACATATGTATGTATTTTGTGTGTTTGTTTAGACCAAGACCCACCTCGTACAGATACCAAACCTATCTCGTGGTACTTTAAAATTCTGGATCAAAGATTAGGAACTTTTAACTACTCCTTGCCGCAAACGACGATGGATTGAGCATTTCGGTTTTCCAAAGGTATAAATGTTTTATTTATTACACTTCTTGAATATAGGTGCCATGTCGATAAGATAAGAGTTAAAGCATCGTTTGTTCGAATTCCACTCTCGATACGAGGATTATGTTGACGGATATTCTATAAGCATCCGTGTAAGTTATTTTCGGGGCATATTGCGAATCTGTGATAGTAACTAAAATCAAAACCACCCAAACGTCGTCAAATTTCATACAACAAGAACGTCTACACAGTTGTACTTTATTAAGTAGTTTTACAAAGTTTCACCGAATCAATAATATGGTTAACTAAAGTATGAAATCACACGATGATGTTTTCAACATTAAGCAATGGCAATGGGATTACTATATTAATATTGTTGACGTACTTATTCATTTAATCTCATATTAAAAAAAAAAAAAAAAAAAGGGGCACGGGATCTTTGCAGGACAAGGAAACAAATATCGTGAAGCTTTCCGAAAGTAACAATTTTAAGTTTCGAATTTTCACCAGCGCATATTGCAATCTGAGAATTTCCAACTTGAGTTTCTCTCTTGTCTACCTTTTTTATGGTTATGTTACTAAAATAAACAGCAATCCCTCTAGATTGTATGAAGAATTTGGGGTGGAAACCTATTTGCAAAATCAAAGGATCATGTCATAGATTTTGTAAAATTTCTAAAGAAATCCGGTATATGCATAATATCTAAACTACCTAGTCTGTGGACTTTGAATCTTGGTCCCTGCACAAACCAATGGGCAGTTCGATTTAGCAATTTTCATCATCATTGATGACTGATGACTAGAGGTGACAATTTGTCCCAAGTCCCAATGGGTTACCCATGCCCATGGAGACTTTGGGCGGGATGGGTATTGGATTTTTATATTGGGTTTAAAATGGGACAAATCCCAATTCTACCCATTAATTGATGGGAATACTTGGGAAATACTTGGGTACCCATTGGGCTCAAATAACAAGGGCTCTGTTTGGTTTAGCTATTTTTGGGGGGTATTTTTGAAATATTTTATTATAGCAGTGTATATGAAAAATTTTTACTATAAAATTTTTTTGAAATATTTGATATACTAATATGGATGGGATGTTTTTTGAGTTATTGTATATTACTGTAACATTGTATTTGAAAAACTTATTTTTTGAAAAAATAGCCAATCCAAACGGGGTCTTAGATTAAAAAAATTATCTTTAACAATTTTTATAGTCATACTAGAGAATATAATCTAGTAGTTTTCCTAGTCATTATCCACAAGAATTTTCAACATTTCAGTCAATTTAGACCTGTCATCTTTGGACAATGATGAGGATAAATATTCAACACCTTAAGTACATTGGTCATCTTGATATATGTTGGAATATGACTGTATATCTATTTTTTCCTTTATTTGTTAATCCAATTTTTTATGGGAATCCTGAGTATAAAGCACTTGTATGTTTATTTAATAAAACTAAAAAAAATTTAATAAATCAAAAATATTAAAATTATATAAAAAATAAAAATGAATTAAAGGAAAAAAAATATGTAGAAAATAGATTTGGGTATTGGGCGGGATCAATCTAAACCCATCCCAAAGTGATCCCGCCCAAGTTAGTCCCAAAACACATATGGGTAAGGTTGGGCCCAAACCCATATGACTCGGTTCCATCACAAACCCAAGCAAATCCCGCCCATCCCGCCCATTTTGCCACCTCTACTGATGACCATACTAGTAGTTTCCCACGGAAATTCTTAGTTGCTTGTGAATTTTAGCCTGCAAATAATCCTGAAGTTATTGAATGACCCTCTTGCTGAATTGATTTGTTCACTTTCGTGTGTATAACTATACAATATATAAAGTATCATACGATAGGTGAAGTCTATGCACAATTGATACAAATAACAATTTAGGTAATTAAATTTCTCAGTTGGGGTATTTTGACTTTGCTGCCATAAGAATTAGTGACTATTGCGCTTCTTATATCATCATTACTGATACAAGGTTTTAAATTCTAAACTCAAAAAAATCGCAAAATAAGACATACTGGTTATGATTAATAGACTTTAAATTAACTAATTAGTCTTCATCCAATTTGGGCATTCACAGTTTAATTTGCTAATTTGGGCTTCCCAAGGAATCAATAGCTTTCCTATGCGTCTAATGACTCGATTCGGATGGTCCAAAATGGATTACAAAGTATATGAGTTAACTAGAGACCTAAAATGGGCTGAACCCTTGTCTTCCATCAAATTGTCGTTATATATGGCTGCTTTCAGTAACTTTCTCGGATGGAGTTTTTACTCCTACCGGCACCCCCTTCCCCTAGATTAGGTTATAAGAATGTTACTGTTGCGAAAAAAAAACCCTATAATGGGCCGTTTAAAACTAAAAGAACTTGAAAGAAAATGAAAAATTACCCAAGGGCCGTTTGGTAATAAAAATGCTGCTGGTCAACTTCAGTTGTGCCACTCAGTCAAAATTTGGAAAGTGCAGAAAAGAACAATCAAACAAACGCTGAGGTGGACCTTCATGTTCAACATCCACAAATCATTTCTTTCTTTTTTTTAACATCGACAAATCATATCTCTGAAAAATCTCTTTGTTATAATTTGGATTCACATGATGCATCAAAAAATCTAGTTCAAAAAAAAAAAAAAAAAGATTCCTTCAATTATATTCCGAAAGCGTGAGGTAAAAAATTCCCATGCTTCAAGTTCTAAGCCATCTAAAACCAAATCCTTAGCCAAATAAAACCAAGTCTACCGAGTAAATAAAACTAATTTTGTAAAAAGAAAAACTAAGTACTTCTGCTAAAACTAAACTAAACCAAGTAATTAGCCTTAGCTCCATAATCCACTCAGAATTTTGTGAACAAAACCTTGACATCTTCTCCATAAATCTTTTCAACCTTTCCCATAGAGC